TTAAATACAGAAATACTTTTATATCTAGTCCAATAATATCTACCATCTCTACATGTTTTTTAAATTTTAATGACATGTTAATATGCATTTATAAGTCATTGAAGTCTGTTCTAGAACTAAAGACAAATATTTTATTCATCATTTCTTATAATACTTTCATTGTATCAGTTTTATAAAGGCAGGAACTATTTACTTGCTGAAATGAACTCCATTAGTGATTACTATTTTTCCTATATTTACTCATAATTTAAGTGATATAATCCTGAAAGCTTTTTTTTTTTTAATTTAACTTTTAAGTCCAGGGTACATGTGCAGGTTTGTTATATATGTAAACTTGTGTCTCGGGGTTTGTCGTACAAATTATTTAATTACCCAGGTATTAAGCCTAGTACCCATTAGTTATTTTCCCTGATCCCTCTCCTTCCTCCTACCCACCACCCTCCAATAGGACCCAGTGTGTTCTGTTCCCCTTTATGTGTCCATATGTTCTCATCATTTAGCTCCCACTTGTAAGTGACAACATGCGGTATTTGGTTTTCTGTTCCTGCATTAGTTTGTTAAGGAAAATGGCCTCCAGCTCCAGCCATGTTCCTGCAAAGGACATGATCTCACTCTTTTTTATGGCTGTATGGTACTCCACGGTGTATATGTACCACATTTTCTTTCCAGTCTATCATTGATGGGCATTTAGGTTGATTCCATGTCTCTGCTATTGTGAATTGTGCTGCAATAAACATACATGTGCATGTGTCTTTATAACAGAACAATTTCTATTCCTTTGGGTATATGCTCAGTAATAGGATTGTTGGGTTGAATGGTATTTGTTTTCAGGTCTTTGAGGAATTGCCACACTGTCTTCCAATGGCTGAACTTCTCCCACCAACAGCGTATAACTGTTCCCTTTTCTCTGCAACCTCACTGGCAACTGCTATTTTTTGCCTTTTTAGTAATAACCATTTTGACTGATGTAAGATGGCATCTCATTGTGGTTTTGATTTGCATTTCTCTAATGATCAGTGATGTTGAGGTTCTTTCTTTTTTTTTTTTAACTGTTAAGAAAAATTTTGTGGTTTTATTGTAGCATGAGGCATTGAAATATCTGAACAAATCAATGTCTGGGCAGTGAGGCAGCTGCTTTATCCTTCTTTGGGTTACTAGAGCAACTTGTCAGTAGATTTAAAAAAAAAAAAAAAAGACAATCTTTTGCATTACTTAAGTCTTTTGAAGGCATGCACTGGTACAACACAAACTTCTCCCATCAGATGCAACTAGTCTAGCATCCAAACATCATGCACAACACCTTGGTGGCAGCAGCACACTGTGCCCACTCCCCCCATGGCCCTGCTCATTTGTGCAGGATATTTGGAGCATCTGGAGAAGTGGAAATAGTATTGGGAAGAGGAGGAAGCAGGAGACAGCGTGAATGTCTGGCTGAGAGGAGGTCAGCGAAGTTGTGCAGGGCAAGCCTGAAGGTATCATTGGTGCAAACCCAAGCATCATTGATGTTCTTTAATAGGAACATCTGATGGAACCCCATGATGGTGTCTTCATCCATCTTAAGCTGGCCCACAACCATGCTGATGTTGGAGCTCTCTGGCGTGGGCTGATAGCTATCCTGCGCTGTGATGCCATGCTGGACTTTCTGGAACAGAAGGCTACACAACTTCTCCACAATGGCAGCTTTACCCTGGAACTGTCATCCTTCCCACATAAGGCATGATGCGTCAATGTAAATTGCACCTCGTTGGGTTCTATTCTTATCAAATAACTGGTAGTAATGTTGAATGATGCTGATCCAGTCTGCTCCCAAATTGGCTTGTCTCTCATTCTGGAGAGTCACCCGGCCTTGCGGAGACCTGAGGGGCTGGCACAATGGTGGCAGTAGTGGCAGCAACCCAGCGTGGTCTGCAAGTGTTTTTTCATATGATAGTTGATCACATGTAGTTTCTTTTGAAAAGTCTGTTCATGTCCTTTGCCCACTTTTTAGTGGGTTTTTGAATTGTAAATTTGTTTAAGTTCCTTACAGATGTTGGATATTAGACCTTTGTTAGATGCACAGTTTGCAAATATTTTCTCCCATTCTGTCTGTTTCTTTTCATATTCTAGTGAAACTACTACTGCTATTATTTAATACTAACTGCAAAATAGAAAGCCTGTCTATATTAATGTCAGGGTTAAAAATATTTAAAGTGTTTATGACAATGCAAAAGAGTTTAAAATCTCAGAATAAATATGTTAAGGCATTTTTGTATTTTATTGTAAAAGAAGGAGTTTGAAAAAGTTAATCAAAAAGGTGCTTTGGAAGTTTTAATTGAATACTTTAAAAGACCATATACTGTCTCAAAATAATGCTTTATTATGTTTATAGAACCAAAAACTTAAAAGTTAAATTTGATAACACGAGAATATTCAAGAAGGAATAAATCAAACTTATACTATCCACATTTGTTGTTGATGGATTTTAACTCCTCCAAAAATATAATTATTTAGTTTTACATAGTAAACAGTCATTCTCCTTTCATTAGAGTCTATTTAGCTCCCCATATGATTTAATTACTTATCTTTGAAAAACGAACATGCACAATTCATGCCATTAAAGTTTCAGATAGTTTCCCATTTATGGAAGTTACTAAAATTATCTTCTATAGTAAAAAATGAAATAGGAAGCAAAAGTATTTAGTACTTGTGTAGAACAAAAATTGAAAAGAATAGTAAGGCAACAACATTAAACTAGTTTTATTTCTTAGAAAAAATAGCAACAGGTGCCTTAAGGATCTAACATTTAACATAAAAAAAAATGTGACTACAATCCTCCTTCTTAAATAATGATAGGTTCTGAAATATCAACTTGAGCTCTAAACCAAAGATGAGTTGACAATGTCAACTGCTTCGAGAGAATGTAAATATCAACTGCATCATCCTCTCACAGAACAATTTCCAGTCTTTTTCTGTCTTTAATACAATCATTATATCAGAATAAAGCCACTCAACTTTTCCATTAACATCTCAAACACATTATATGTCATCCCAATTCACAAGACTACCCCTACATGGTTGCAAAATTCTATAATCTGAGAGAATCAAAGAACTTGACACTAGAAATCGCTAGGAGAAAAGGAAAGGTAATCTGTGAAAGAAGCATATGTGGTAATGTAACAAGGTGAAGAGAGCTGGGAAATAGAAAAGAAAGAGCCAAAACTAGTAGAGGCTAGCATCTCTAGAGAGACAGCAGAGGATGGGACCAAGCTCTCAGGATAGTTTATCTGTTCTCTACTTTTCATTCACAAGTCAGTTAAAAACCTTTTCTTCTCTAAGATGCTCCCATTACCAGTTCATCTTACTGATTATGTTTTTAAAGTATTTTGCCTTATATGGCATGTATCATATTTTGATATGGATATAAATTCATATTTATATATCCCTGTTTTCTCTGATAGTCTCTACTATACATTCAATATGCACAGAAGAAATAAATCCTTATTAAATGAATGAAAGAAAGAATAACTACATGAATGAATAACACTACATTCTAAAATGGAGATTTTCTACACGTGTAGAACACAGCTCAAGATGTTATGATGTTCTTAATGATTAGGCATTTGAAGTACTTAGATTAACTAGGTATTAAGTTGACCCTAAGTGCAATTAGAGTTCAGGAAGTTCTTTTCCGTGGGATATTAGGAGTTTATGTATATAACAATACAGTATCTTTTAATGGTGCTGGTAGAAAGTCAAAGAGCCCTGAAGTCTCTGCAGGTTTCTATGTACAATGTAATCATTTTCTGAGCCAAGTAACCCTCTTTAGGTACTTCAAAGGTCTTTGTCAAAATACTGAATTTTACTTGGAGTTAAAAGAAGACATTTTAGAATGTTAAATAAAATTCTTCTGTAGATTATTTCTCCATCTTACATATAGGTAATACCTTAAGTTTGGCTAAATGTCTAGATGATCTTAACAGTGCAGTACTCAGTGTAGAAATAACAGTGTAGTCTGAAAGGAAGAGAGTAAATTATTGTGAGGTCTAACTTCAAAGTAAACAGCCCAAATTGGCTATTTTCCCAAGCAGAACTAGATACTAAATGTGCTTGATCCTAGGTATTCTTTTTGGCCGTTCTGTAAGTCATTCTTATTTGGAGGTTTAGGGAAGCAGGTAAAATGAAATGACCGATTCTCTGGGAATTAGCTAGGTATACTGAGCTCAAGAAAGCTTCTCCTCTTAAATCACTTTATTGGGTCAGTCACTGTATTGACCTTCCTCCAATTAAACACTTATTGTACTTCTGTACCAAATTGCCAAATGTCTTAATATCTCTCCAACTAGAGTATATGGTTTTATGGGAATGTACCACACATTGGCTGACATATGGTGGGAACTCAATATTTATTGAGTTCAGACCTCACAATAATTTATGTTTTAAGTTATCTAAATGAATCAATGTTTTTTCAGCTAAAAACTGCAAGGTCAAACCTAGTAATAGGGGGGCCCAATCAGTCTAGTAAATGAATGGAGAAGACAAATAAAACCTAATATTTCAGTATACACTTAAGAACACTAAAACACTAAGTAGCATATCGTAAGACAAAGCCTTTCCTAAATAATGCCTGTATAGTAATCCATTTTCAAATATAACAACTGGAACATTTCATTTCCCAAATCGCTCAACAAAATCTACAGCAGAATTTCTAAATGTCCTAAGACCTAAATCTCATTTTTAAAAAAATCTGTTTTCGTTTAAGAGGGAGAAAGCATCTGAAACCACTGAGTTCTATTTTCTTGCATTTCTATCACTTAAAAACAGCTGAACTGATTTTTCTTTTAAAAAAAAATTACTGGCTAGTAATAAAATTCTGAAGATAGAGATTTGTGATGAAAAACTGATGCAAACTAATTCATAGCAAGACTTTTATAAAAATATAGTGCTTAGGTCCCAGTTACTTAATTTGGCTCACAGTTTAATAAAGGGTAGTTTTAAACGAAATGCATTACAGTTTTACTCACTTCAAAGCTTCCTCAAATTTATGAATTTTCTTTTCAGTATCTTCTTTTCCTTTATCAAGTTCACTCTGCAAGTCATGAACCTGCCATGACAAGAACAGGGAAAATTTATTGGAAGACAAGTAAAGTTTACTTAAAAGAGACATACAAACAACGAAACAGTGATCACAAATCCATTTTTAATATAAAATTAAATTTAGATATTTCAAGATAGAAACTTGGTCTACCATAGAATGATTTCAATACTATACTCAAATACCAATTTTCTGTTCAAAGCGAATTGCCTGAATCTACCTGCAGATGAATTCTTTTAAAATAAATCCATAAGATAAAAGAAAATGAAAAACAGAAACTCTTTGATTTTTTTAATTACTTTTTAATCAAAGAAAAGAAATCTCGCAAGATTCAAGAGAATACGATAAACAATGTATCTATACCTCTTTCCTAAATGTGGCATCATTTGAGGAAATGAGATAGCAGCATCAATAACAAGTGCTAAATGAAAATTTGTCTTCACAAAAAGCTGTTCATATGCAAATGCAGATAAACACAACCAATGTGGACATTATACAGATCTTAAAATATAAAAGGGAAATTTTGGTACAGCTGGACAAAAAGGAAGAAATGAAATGGCAGCCATGCTTCCACATACATGGCAATTGAGGATGCAGAGCCTAGCTGGGAAGTAAGAAAAGTCATGTTACTTGGTGGGATGGAAATACCCGCTACAGACCTGCCTGTAAGCAAGGTAAGACTGAAAGTGAAATGAGTGGCCACCAGGTTTAAGAGAGAAATGGCAAGAACAACAACAAAACATAAATACACTATGACAAACCATATCAAACACTTAATCAGCGCTAGCCAAAATGCCTGTAGTTAGCTATTTAAATCAGTTTAAATGGAGACCTATTTAACTCAAACTCTATCTTTAACCTCTTCTTTTTATATTTTTTTCGATTTCTTCTCTCAGTGTTTTAGTAAATAAGTGAATTAATAAAATCAATGTTTGCTTATAAACTAAAACAAAGTGAGGGTAGACAGAAAATTTTCCAAGATAATATCGAAAAGCTTCTATGGGCTGCTATGATGATAATCTCAAAAGTAAGAATACACTAAGAGGCAGAGAAGAAAAAGCAAGAGAATTAGGAACCAGTAGCCACTCTACTCCATATTTTAAATGGTAAATTTAAAGTGTCTCATAAAGTATTTCTTATGAGAAAGAGAAAGAGCAACTTGCCTTGCAAATTTTTGCCAATACATTTATTTTATTTCACATGGGGGAAAAAGAAGTTTGTTGTTCAAGTTTTTACCACGTTTGAATTTTAAATTATTATTTTGGATCTCTAACATGTATTACAGTGTTTGGCACAAAGTACATTACACTGGAGTCCAAACATTACTAAGGCAACAAAAGCAGCATTTCGATGCACATCTAGTCTTTCTAACGTAGCGAGTCAAAGACTAAAACCTCAAAATGAAATTCAGATACGGACCTAATGCGAAGATCCTGGAAACATGTTTTTATATCAGTAAAATCCTTTCTTGAAATGAAATCTTAAGTGAAAAATCACCCACCAACTTAGGAAAAACACACAGAGGAAAGTAAATGTATTCAAGTGAAAGGTTGGGAGAAGGGCAATTCGGAAGCAAGTTAAAGGGAGAAATTAATAGCTCAAAGGTTATCTTCCACTGGTGTTTACTTACACATATTTACCTATCACTTTGCTTTAATCGTTCTTTGTTAGTCAAGTTCTCTGGTGAGCTGAATTTGGTCCAAATCATACATTTTCTTTTAATAAAGGATGTTCTTAGATTTATTGCTACCACTATTATTATTTATGCCATTTTTTGCCTGTTTCCTGATTTTTTATGTTACTTTTTATACATGGCATTTTTGTTATTGTCCCCAACTCCTCCATGTTCTGATAGATTGATACATAGTGACAGAATAAGACTTTTCTATATAATTGGCAAATAAAATTATACATCTTTGAGGTATACAACATGGTATTTTTAAAATTTATTTTCATGGACAAATGACAAATTGTATACACCTATGATATGCATGAAGTTTTGATATATGTATACATTGTAGAAATATTAAATCAAGCTAATTCACATATTCATCATATCACACATATACTTATCTTTGTGATGAGAACATTTAAAGTCTGTTCTCTTAGCAATTTTCAGGTATACTACAGATTATTATTAATAACAATCACCATGTTCCATGTTATATCTCCAGATACTTATTCTTCCTGTCTAAACTAGACCATTTTTTTTTTTTTTTTTTGGAGGCAGGGTCTCACTTCCACCCAGGCTGGAGTACAGTGGCACAATAACAGCTCACTGTAACCTCAAACTCCTGAGCTCCAGTGATCATCCCACATCAGCCTCCCAGGTAGCTAGGACTACAGGCATGTACCACCACACATGAATAATATTTTTTTAGAAACAGGGTCTCATTATGTTGCCCAGTCTGTTCTAAAATGCCTGCCCTCAAGTGAGCCTCCCTCAGCACCCAAAAGTACTGGGATTATAGTCATGAGCCACTACCCATTTCCTTCCATCCCTCCCCACCAAGTCCATGGTAACCATCGTACTATTATCTGATTCTAGGAATTCGATTGTTTTTTCAGAGTCCACGTATAAGAGAGATAATGCAGTAATTGTCTTCCAGGATCTTCCATGTTATTGAAAATAACATGATTATCTTTTTTAAGGCTGCATAGTATTCCACTGTGTATATATATCACAGATTCTTCCATCCATAGATGAACACTTAGGTCAATTCCATTCATCCATAGATGAATACTTAGCTTGATTCCATATTTCAGCTCTTGTGAATAGTGCTTCAATGAACAAAGGAGTGTAGATATCTCTTAAACCTACTAATTTCATTCCCTTCACATATAAACCCAGAAGTAGAAATGCTGAATGATATGGTAGTAATATTTTTAATTTTTTGAGGTACTTCCATACTGTTTGCCATAATTACATTCCCACCAACAGAGTACAGAAGTTGTCTTTCCTCCATATCCTAGTCAACACGTATTATTCCGTTGCAGGATGTGTGTTTGTGTGCACGCGCACATGTTTTAGCAAAAGCAATCTAACAAGTGTGACGTGATATTTCACTGCAGTTTTGATTTCCCTTTCCCTGATGACTAGTGATGTCAAGAATTTTTCATATACCTGTTATTTCTGTATCTTCTTTGGAAAAGTGTCTATTCAGGTCTTTGGCCCATTTTTTAAACATCAGGTTATTTGTATTTTTGCTATAAAGTTGTTTCAGTTCCTTATATATGTAGGATATTAGTTCCTTATCCAATAAATGGTTTGCAAATATATTCTACCATTCTGTAGTTTGCCTCTTCACTCTGTTGATTGTTCACTCTTCTATGCAGCAACTTTTTGGGTTTGATGCCATCCTACTTGTCTATTTTTGCCTTTGTTTCTTGTGCATTTATTGTTGTATTATAGTCTAACTTCCATGGGTAGGACTTTCAGTACTGTGGGAACTAGAAGTGGTGATAGCAGGCATCCTTGTCTTCTCCCTGATCTTACAGGAAGAACTGTTGGCTTTTCTCTATTGAGTATGATGTTAGCTATGGGTTTGTCATATATGGCCTTTATTATGTAAAGACACATTTCCTCTATATCTGATTTGTTAAAAATTTTTATCATGCAAGATGTTGAACTTTGCCAAATGTGTTTTCTGCATCTATTGAGATGATCATATGATTTCTTTGCTTCATTCATTCATTCTAATGATGTGGTGTATGACTTTTTTTTTTTTTTTTTTTTTTACTTTTAAGTTCAGTGGTAGATGTGCAGGTTTGTTGTAATACAGGTAAACTGAGTGTCATTTGGGTTTGATATACATATTATTTCATCACCCAGGTAGTTAACATAGTACCCAATAGGTAGTTTTTCAATCCTCACCCTCTCACTCTCTGGCATTCCCTTCTTTGTGTTTGTATGTACCTGGTGTTTAGCTCCCACTTACAAATAAGAACATGCAGTATTTGTTTTTCTGCTCCTGTATTAGTTCACTCAGAATAATGGCCTCCACCTCCACCCATGTTGCTGCAAAGGACATGATCTCATTTGTTTTATGGCTGCATAGCATTCCATGGTATACATACATATGCCACATTTTATTTATCTGGTCAACTGAGGCATTTAGCTTGATTCCATGTCTTTGCTATCATGAATAATGCTGCAGTGAACATAGCATGCATGTGTTCTTATGGTAGAATGATTTACATTCCTTTTGGTATGTACCCAGTAATGAGATTGCTGGGTCAAATGGTAATTCTGTTTTAAGTTCTTTGAAAAATCTACAAACTGCTTTCCACAATGGCAGGACTAATTTACATTCCCATTAGCAGTATGAGCATTCTTTTTATACCACAATCTTGCCAGCATCTTTTTGACTTTTTAATAATAGCCATTCTGACTGGTGTGAGATGGCATCTCGTTATGGTTTTGATTTGCATTTCTCTAATGATTAGTGATGTTGAGCATATTTTCATATGCTTATTGGCCACATGTATGTCTTCTTTTGAGAAATGTTTGTTCATGCCCTTTGCCCACTTTGCAAAGGGGTTTCCTTTTTTCCTCGTGAATTTGTTTAAGTTACCCGTAGATTCTGGATATTAGATCTTTGTCAGATACACAGTTTGCAAATATTTTTTCCCCATTCTGTAGATTGTCTTGTTCCTCTCTTGATAGTTTATTTTGCTATGCAGAAGCTCTTTAGTATAATTAAGTCCCATTTGTCAATTTTTCTTTTGTTCCAATTGCTTTTGGCATCTTCGTCGTGAAATCTTTGCCACTTTCTATATCCAGAATGGTATTTTCCAGGTAAACTTTCAGGATTTCTATCATTTTCAGTTTTACACTTAAGTCTTTAATCCATATTGACTTTATCTGTGCTTATGGTGTAGGGAAGGGGTCCAGTTTCAATCTTCTGTTTGAAACATTGAATAGGGTCCCCACTGCTTGTTTTTGTTGACTTTGTTGAAGATCACATGGTTGAAGGTGTACAGCCTTATTTCTGGGTTCTCTACTCTGT